AAGAACGGTTTTTTTTCACCGGATCTGATATTCGAACAGTGCTGCTTTTTTTAAATGTAAAGCTTTTAAGAAAACGGGGTTAACGCTTGTTCTATATCTCGATGCAAATTCCGCTGGAATTTGCGATCAGGTTCGCGACAGGATCGAGAGAGCTATGAAAAAGCTGGACTATCTAGGCTGCGTTTCACGTTTAGCGCGCAGTCGCCGAGCTAGATTATGCCTCGGCACGGAACATTGTCATCTGCCAGCCGGAAAATGTAAATCTTTGAAATATACATCTCGGGGGCAGGACAGTTTGTCCGTGGAACACGAGGGTCCGTTCACGAGTACATTATCCGCGGTGCTGGCTAATTCCCTTGGTAATTTAATTGCAATTGCTCGGTGACGTTCGTCGTATCTCTGCGTTCATAGTACATTTAACGGTGCCAGCGCTCATACGTTATGCGCGCGCGCGCGCGTGTGTGTGTGTTCTAAGCGGGTTTCTAGCGAGCATAATGCAGTCCGTGCATGCATATTTTCCAAGTAATGTTAGGCGTTCGCCGGCGTAACTGTTCGCGGCTGAAATTTCAAATGTTATTGCAATCCTTACGAATTAATTGGATTTCGTATTCGTGTACAATGGAAAACTGTACCGAAGATTAGTCGCGTTAAAGATTGACCGCGGACGGAGTAATGACGACTGAATGACTTTATCGCGATGCCGCTGCGAACGACCAGGGATTTTCCAATAGATCTTTGCAAAATAGATTGAAAGAGGATTTTTCGTGAACTGTTTATGAAAAATCAGTCGATGAGATTTCAAGTTGTAACAGGATATCGAAAGCCGTTAAAAATATAGATGTCTTCGTTGTCGTTTCATCGAAGCTATTCTTTCGGTTCGGTTGTAGCACTTAAACTCTGTGTAAATTGTGATTTTTACGGACAGAATATAATTTGTCATTCGAAGCTTCGTCCTCTCCGGAATAATCCACTCGAGAAGAAAGGAAGTAGAATTAGCGGACACAATGATATCGGACACCGAAGTCTATCCAATAGACCGCGTTAAGCAAACTTTGTAAGTCAATTATCTCAAGAACGGAGCCCGCTGCGAAGAGATTTTGTTCTTCGTTCTCAATCTTCTATTTCCCGTCGAATGCTGCTCTAGATCTCGGTGATAACTAGCAAATGCAGGATAGAAACGTGGACCGAATGGAAATAAATTTCTAAATCATTTCTAGATCATTGAATTTAATTTGATTCTAAATTATTTCTAATTCATCATTTCTAAATCTTATCTCTTCAAAGTACATTTCTAACGAAGATTTGAGATCGTAGGCGACTTCAGCACGATTTCCAAAAATAAATCAACGCGTCCCGCGGCCGGCGCAAGGGTTAAACAGCCTAATTGAAGCACTTGAGCCATTATGTTGCATATCGCGAAGCCAGGAGAAACGGGCACGCGAGGACCCGTGCGCCGAAGCGTCGCGCGCTCGGGCGTCGGGTAAACACGAGCTTGCTCGATATTTAAATTCCCGGCAGCGATTTAAATAGATTTTGTACAGGAATTTACGACGTACGAAGTTGATCGATAGCCGAGCCTGGCTGGAGAACCCGAGGGCCGCGATCTCGCGCGCATCGATTCGCCCGATGGTCTCTGCAAGAAGGTCGGCGTCGGCCGACAAGCCTTCGCTCGTAAATCAATTTCGAGGGTGCAGTTCCCACTCACCCGCTGCGCTCCGATGCGTTCTGCGATAGATTTCGCCTAAGCGGGTCACTCCGGGATGTCCTGGGGACCGAAATTTCGGAGCGGGACCGGCCGAGAACCAGAGAGAGAGAGCCGAGAGAGAGAGCCGAGAGAGAGAGAGAGAGAGACAGGGCCGGCCGTCTATGGCCTCGGAAGTAATTGGGCGACGCTCTTCCAACCGGAGAATACCCTTTCAACGAGCGTCGATATTTCTGCGAGGAAACAGGGCCCGCTAACAATGACATCAAGATTTCAGGCCGGCTCCAATTGAACGGCTTATTGCGACAAGTTGGCTTGCCGCGAGTCGATACTGATCCTGGAGCACCGGTTCTTGGGATGCTTCGGGCAGGGCTTCGAAACAGTTGCGACCTCGGTTTCGGCTCTTCGAGCTGTTACGGAGAACCGAAGAAGTCTCATAACTGTCCGCAGAACCGATATTATATCTAGTCTGTGGAGGTACATTATTTTTCGGTTCTGGCTTCCGGTTCTACGCGATCGATTTAGAGAGCCTACTTTTCAGAGCGCGCACCCATATGTGTCGACAAACACGAAGTGTCGCTGTTAAAATATTGGACCAAAGAGACGATTTTATTTGGCGGAATTAATAATTTTATTACCAATATTTACTTATTCACCGAACGTCAACATACACTGCATACACGGCAAACGAAAACGCAGGAAAAAAATTCAGCGAAGCAAGGGACGATACATGATGGCACTTTGCACGTCGAACACCAATATCGTGATTCTTTTCCGATCATATTTTTATAACAATTTAAACACCTTCGTGTAGGATCGGCCTCAAAATACACCCCTACATCTTGAAATTTGAAAATGTTTTCGTTTTCGTTAAAATTACAATTTGAATAGCCAATGGTACCTCTGCATGACGAGTATACTCGTCGAGACACAGCCGAATGGGTCACCTTGTATACCGGCGGTCTTTCCTAGAAAACAATCGGATTCGGGAAAACAGTGATTCCAGGTGTTCCGGCCGGTTCTCGAGCCGTATCCATCCCCGTGACAGATAACTCGGCTTGTAAACAATTTTCGTTTTCCAGCCGAGCCATTTCCCTGGAGGAGCGGCGGCCGGAAAATCGCCGGGAATAGGAACGAAAGAAATACGGGGAAACGGTTTTCCGGTGGAAGTTGCCGCGCGTTCGAGCTGCCAAGCAACGGGCTGGAACTTACGCGGGGAGACGAGTCATATTTCACCGGCTCGGCTCGGCTCGGCGCGGCGCGGCGGCGATTGAAATACGTTCACAGGCTTCCTTATTTCCTCCTTCGATCGGGGGGTGAGGGGGGGGGCTGCCTCGCAAAACGTTGATGATATCGAGTAACCATTAAACCGGGAATAGAAAGTCGTACTTCGAGCGACGATCATTACCGTCGTATTTCTCCGTTGTTCCGTTCGCGAATTCCGAAACCATTGTTGTTATTGGTGAAAGGTGGAAGGAGCAGCCTTTTGTTCCTTCTTGATAATTCGTCGCTCGGGGATCGTCGCTGTTGCTCCCCGTTTTTCGCGCGAGACTGTCGCGGCTCCGTTGAAGGGGCAACGAATTTTCTACCCCCTTTTTAGACTCCATCCCCATTTTTCCAGTTAGCAGGGGAGAGGCAGCGTTTATGGTACAAATCTGTGGACGAGACACGGAACGGCGACATCGTCGAACAGACTCTCTAGGAACGCTGTGAAATTAGAAATGAGACACTCGTTTTGTCTTGCAATTTATGCCGGAAACTTCTCCGTTGCATAAAGATCCGCACTGTTCACGAGTCATTTATCGTGTCGCTGATGCGGTCGTTGAGTCATTCGAGCGGCGAATGCGTCGGAGAAACAGCGTTGCTCGTTGATTCGAATGTGCAAGCGACAATTGTACTATTAATAGTTCGGTGGTCTCGTAATGGTATAATTTTAAATTCGCCGCGTATCAATTATTGCATTTTACCCGACTGCATTTTGCACGATACGTCGAATGCCTCGCGGTACGGAGAGAACAAATTTCCTTGTCTCGTTCGGTTGTCGGAGCAACGTTTCTCTGTAAGTTCATAGGTCAGGGCCGTCGGTGGACACGCGGGGGTAAACAGAGGGGGGAGTCCATTTGTCGCGTTGTTAATGCGGCCGTGTTGCATCAATCGACTATTGAATGAACCAGAGAAACAACGAATCGGCCGATTTGAATATGGAAATCGGTATAAACAAACGGGAGAGAAGTAAGAACGCGTAACCGTTTATTGAACGTCTCCCCGCTGCCGGCCTCTCTGTGGCGCTCTAACCGGCGAACACCGTGCTCGCGATGGTTTTATTAATAACACGGTTTCGTTTACGCGCGACCTCTGCCATTACAATATTTATGCATTCAAATGAAGACGAGGCGCGATTACGCGTATGCATGTTTACGACTCATTGACAGCGTCGAGTTGCAACTGCTGCCACCGTCAACCGGTTGCGGATGGACTCTTCGCCCCGTGACTGCGCTCGGTTCCGAAAGCCACTTTTTTCCGCGACGATCGAACAACGAACACAGGCGACGGCCACTGAATAACAATCGGACGGGCTATTAACGGCGAGCCTTTCGACGCGTTTAACGAAACATTAATATCGCCGTACGATAAACTTAAACCGCGAACAGCTGCGATGCTTTATCTGCGCGAATTTTTCAGGCGGATCGATAACACTGATTCGAATAAACTTAGCATTGTTTCGAAAGCAGCGGATCGATAACTCGGTGTCGAATAAATATCGTTGATCCACTCTGGAACGAGCCGAGATGGAACATGAAGAACCGATAAATTGTTTGTACTATCATTCACGTGTGCAGATATAAAACGTTAGATTTCTTCTACGGCGTTACCTCGGTTATCCGAATTCGTCGGAGAAACCGACGCGGAAATGTACCTTCGGAACACGATTTGTCGTGTTCGATGGCGAAAGGGGTGAGAATTGTCGCGCCAGCATCTTTCCTGCTATCGATTCAGGCTCGTGTACGAGAGCTAAACAAACGATGAACGGGCACAGCGAATTCTTCCGAGTAAATGGTCGCAGGTAGTGTTAACGGTGCCGGATCGAATCGGCCAAAAACGTTCGGCAAACAATCGGCCGAACAATTGCGATAGTCGCGAGGCCGAATCGTTTGCGTACGTGTTACAAGTGTTATTACGCGGCCGGAACGCCCGGAGCGGAGAACAAACGGTCTCTCCGCGGCAATTCGCCATCTCCGACCAATTGATCCTTCTGCAGAATGCGTTTTCATAGAAACGGTGTCTGTTGGTTTTGCAGGTCGAGGCCGGTGACGTCATACTCAGGGTGAACGAAGTCGATGTCAACCGATTCAGTACTAAAGAAGGTAAGAAGACCGACCTGCTTTAGCGGCACTCGTATATCTTTCTTCCTCTCTATCTATCTTCCTCTCTCTCTCTCTCTCTCTCTCTCTCTCTCTCTCTCTCTCGCCCGCTCTCGGTCTTGCTCGCATCGGAAGAGAAGCGACGTCTTTTTATCCGCGGTATCGCGTATCGAACGATTTCACGACTCTGTTTGATCATCCTGCTTCGAGATTCCTTGAATGGCACTCTTGTGCGACAATATTGCCGTACACTGGGCGTGATTCGCCTAACTCGACCGCCGATCGATCGCTCCCTGTCATCCTGGATAGATCCTTTCGTTACACGACGCGTATTCAGTCGCGATTAGAAAGGGTTCCGCTATTCGGATACAGATGTTCCCCAGAGAAAAATGATGCCTAATGGATGATCCCACCTTCCTTTTACCATCGCGTATACGGAAAAATATGAGGCCCGTCGATGACAGCTTTCTATGGTAAATTCTCCCCAATTTACCCTCGGCTTGTACGTAAAAATGAACACAATTTTGAAGGAAATTTTTACGAGCAACGTCCTTCTTTATTTCGATCGATCATCACGAAAGATCCGTCGTTTTCGCGTCTTCGGTTTTGAACGTGTTTATTTAACCGTCAATTAAAAAAGAAAAAAAAGACCGTGTTGCCGGTTTAAACGCGAGTCGACCGATGGAAATCAATTATTCGCCGCGATGCGGCGAAAAATTAAAAAAGTTAATCCCAGGTCGACGTAGAAATATTACGGCGGCCCAGATAATGCTGCACAATATCAGAACCTGAACGCCGCCGACAATAACTCCGAAGTGGAACAGAAAATAATTTCAATTGTTGCAGTGCCTTGTATAATGATCTATGGCCCGCTGTCATCGCTACTGCGAGCAATATTGTTCCGCCGTTGTAACAAAGAAATAGCAGGAAATGAAGTGACGGAAGCTGCGCAGTATTTTCTGGGACACCCTAATAACTTCCGCCGTAGACGGTCAATGATCAATGAATATTAATTAACGAGTGGTGCATAGGAGAATCTCTTGAATCTCATTGCGGCCGTGAAATTGCGCGCAACGAGGAACGCGTCCAAAGTAAACGTCGATAAATATTGAATCTTTTTATATCCTGGCGCTTCTTCCTAACAGATAATGGGAATAATAACTCTTGATCACTGATTTATTCTTTTTACAGTTCCTGGTATTGTACAAAGATCGGAGAAATTTTTAGGTACAATTCTTTATCGATGAATATAAATTATAATATAAATCATAGGAAGTCCAAATAAATCCAGTTTTGGCATTCTTATAAAACAATATACGTTGATAGCATTTAATTCGCTGTCGCTCGTCCTCGCGATTTTTCGGCAGGAGAAAAATTTCCGTTACCTTTCACTTTTACCCGCGCGCAGAAAAATATCTCTCGTATGAAATCATTTTCCCGTCGGATAACAAGAGTTCGTCGGGTCGTTGCAATTAACCTTCTCATAATTACCGTTTTATCCCGTAATCGCGATCGATCCGCCGAACGGAATCGGCTCGCGGCCCGGCCTGGTGAAAGTCGATCCCGTTCGTACCTTAATCTCCCGTCGAGGAGGCCGATTGTACCCGAAGGCCAATCGAAATCCCGATCGGACGTGAAAAACAGCACGCTCTTGTGAACCGTCGCGATCCGTGTTTCCGGGGCGGCGATCGGTTCGATTGCGGCGCGGTGTCGCGCGAAAACGGCAATAATTCGCGGACAAGTGTCCAATTTATCGGGAGCCATTGATATATTTGCCAGGCCGCGGTATCTCTCGCGAGTTTCGCGAGCGCGCGCGATCATTCCGCGGAAAAAAGTTCGCCGCAATCGGAGGCAGCAATTCATTCCCGATCGGTTCCACTGAAATTCAAGACGTTCCGCCGACTCGTTCTTTAACGCTCGGTCGGCGGGTCTGTCCGGACCCGGGATTGACAAATTCTTATACCATCGTTGAGTTTCTATCGAACCGATTGAAATTTTTTACACGTTTTATCGGCGTTACGGCGAAAACGAATCTTCTCGTATCATTCGTTTTGAAATCGCTGAAATCCAGAAGTTTTTTCCACCGAGGTCGAATAGAATTTTGATCGAATAAATTAAATTAATTCCAACGCATCTCGCAGCGCCAACGCAGCAACGGATGATCCGAAGCAGGAAATTTTCAGCCGACGAGCGAAAGTTAATCGGCGCGGCAAAAATCTCTCTGGACATTAAAATCACGTAACGCAATGTAGATGAAATTTTTCAAAATCATTTTCGCGATCGTGATGTAATTTCCGCGATGCGATGCGATGCTCGTTTCGTCTCGATCGCTTTTTGCCGGCTAATGAAATTCCGCAATTTTTTCGTTCTTTTTATCGAATCGATCGAGTTTATTCGAGCAAGATTAATTTAACAGAGGACGGCCGTCGAAATCGAATCGGACGACACAAAGGAATCATCGCACACGTGAGCAAACGATGCGCCGCGAGTCTTCGCGAGATCCGTTCCACCAGCGCGATTGGCTTACGTAACCTGCATGCTCAATTGATAACCTTTCGATCTATCAATCGTCGATTTGTCACGGGAAACACAATGTGCAAAGAAAAGCCGATTCATTTAAATTGCAAACAACCAGAATCGCGTAAAACACAATCACCGTGGTTCTTCAGCATTTTCCAACGATCGTCTCT